AATGGCATATAACTTTAAGATTCTTTCAGCAAATATATGTTTCAACAACAATAATATATTTCTTTTTATATTAAGTAGAAAATATACGTGAATAGAGAGAGAGATGCTCAATTTAATAACTCTTAAAAAACTACTGTTTTGAGAAACTAACTAAAACCTGTATATATATATATTTATAACCCTATCATATATATGTGAAAATATAAGAAAAATATAAAAAAGGTCAGGTGTTGAAACTAAAAATAAATTTATAAACGCTAATTTTATGTATTTGTATCTATAAAACATAAATATGGACATTTCTATATTTTTGTAACGATGACAAAATTTTTGAAAATATAAAGCTGAAAATATGTATATAGGCTTTTTATCATTTTAAAAAAGCATTTTAAACTTTAGTGACAACAACATTTTAAATTTTAATACAATATTTTATACTTTAATAACAACTTTTCACTTTATCAGTACAAAATATTTTTTAATGGAATCAGTCCAAAAATCTTTAATAGCATTTTAGTACAAAATATGGGATTACATCAACACAAAACATTAATGGCGTCATTATAAAATATTTTTAATTTTTCATTGCGGTAAGGACATTAGAAATTGTTTATTTTTAAAAGGAATCATACGCGTCTATAATAGTTTCGAATTTTGATAACAGATGGCGCGCTAATGCATCATAATAAAACATTTTTAATGGCATTCTACAAGACATCTGTAATGACATCAGTACAAACATTTTATTTATTTTTAATAACCATCTTATCGAAGCAGAACTTCGTAGTCGCCGGCCTTTATTAAGAAATCCACTATCTGCCACACACAGAGACAGAAGGGACAGGCTCAGCTGGTGTGAAGAGCGACATCTTTGGGTTCAAGAATGGCATTCTGTCTTTTTATCTGATAAATCCAGATATAGTGTAGGGGTTCATGACATCAGGATACATGTTAAACGTATGTTTCAAGAAAATTCCTATCAGAACTGTATTGTGGAAAGGCATACAGAAAGATCTCCTGGTTTCATTGAGTGGGGCGACATGGGCTATAAAAGTAGGACCCATTTAGTCTTTATTTAAGGCAAAATGACTGCTCAGCTATACATTGCAGATGCGTTGCAACCTGTTGTGTTACCATTTCTTGAGCAGACCAACAATGCTATTTTACAACAAGATAATGCCCGACCGCATACAGCCAACATCTCACAAGCCTTCCTTCAAAATGTTGAAATCCTTCCTGGCCCGCATGTTCCCTAGATCTTTCCCCAATTGAGCATATATGGGACATGGTGAGGAGGAAAATTTGGCAATCTCCACAGCCAAGTTATCTTCAACAGCTTCGGTAAAAAATTGAAATGGCTTGGTCTAGCATGCCACAAGAAGCCATAAAAATCTGTATGACAGTATGTCTCACCATGTAGCTGCTTGTATAGATACCAAATGAGGACACACCAAATATTGATAACACTGTGTATCTGAATAAATATCCATCCTTTTTAAAAAAATATATCAAATCTATCTAGATGATGCAATATATTTGTGGCCAGTGTATATATAGCCTTTTATTACTATGATGCGGTGTTATAGTTAAGTTTGCGGAAGAGCATTGCTCGATGCAAAATTTATATGTAGTTCTACCTTCCTAAAAGCTTATGTCCATAGTTGTTTGAATACAATTTCAAAGATTCCACCCTTCATTGCAACATATATAATCAGAATCGTCCAATACAGTATTAGAGCTCTAAGAAACGGTCTGCTAGTTAAATTGGTGAAACCGCTGGGAAGGTTCACCACTGATGAGCCAAGATCTCCTAATATTTTTCATCGCAGTAAGGACAGTAGAAGTTTTTTTAATGTTAAAAAAGAGAAACATTCGTGCTTTGATGCTTCCATTTCTTAGTTATAGTTAATCTTACTCCTGTAGAAGGGCTCCAAGGCTTGAAAAAAAGCTTGACTTGATTAGGTAATTCTTTCAAGACACTTTTCTATCTGGATTATTATTTTTCTCTCAAATGACAAAAAATTGTAATGGAATCAGTACAAAAATTCTGTAATATGACATCCGTACTATATATTATATGATGGCATCAGTACAAAACATTTTTAATGGCATCAGTACAAAACATTTTTAATGGCATCAGTACAAAAATTCTGTAATTATGACATCCGTACTACATATTCTATACTGACATCAATGAAAGACATTCTGTGATGCCATCAGTACAGAAGATTTTGTAATAATAGTATCAGTGCAGAAGATTCTGTAATGGCATCAGTACAAAACATTTTTAATGGCAGTACAAAACTGTATGCACTGTATATACAGTACAAAACAGTATGCACAGAATAGATACAAATCCTCTAATAATGACATTATTACAAAATAGTTTGTTAATAAATCAATACAAATAAATTTTAACAGTATCATTATAAAATATTTTGCAAAGACATGGGTTCAAAACAGGTTCTAAGTACCCTTAGGTATTTCTCTTCCAATCATATATTTCATAGAGAAGAGAAGTCATTAACATCCAAAACTAGGACTGTATATTTTCTCCCAAAACCTTTGCTTCATTAGAAAACATAATTCCCTACGTCGAACAATAACAACCATCTGATATTAGAAAAAAAGTTCGGAAAAGTTCTCCATGAGGTAAGAAGAGAGAGAGATTTAGTAATTTCTCCCCCGCAAAGAGAAGCTTCATTATAGGCGGAAAAAAAAGACAAAACTTTCTTTAAAACTTTTTAAGAAACATTAAGAATATTTTCTCTTTTTAAAAAAAGTTTAAATGTTTCCTGAAGGTTATTTCCCTCCCTATCTGATGGAATTCAGAATCCACTTGAAATTTCCGGGCGTGCATCATTTCTCTGATGTATTCCCCGTCGTATGCCTAAACCTATTTTCCCGCTTTTTTAAATTCAAAGAATCCATCGATGATAACAGGCAGCTTTTGATGGCAAACTAAAGGTACTTATCGTTATTGTCTATTTACTAGTGATTCGATATTTATTTGTATTGCCTTACATTTATCTATATTTGTACCTAAGCGCAGGATTCGCTTCAACATTTTGTGAATCTTAAAACTACTTGATGATCTTTCTATTTATTAAGCTTTAAACGATGTATTTGGCAGCACTCTGATACTTTTCGGTAATACGACATCCAATTATTTAAAAAAAAATCTTTCATTTTTCTATGATGTTAGTCTATTCTCGAATTCTCATTGAATTATTTCCATTTTACTTCAGTAATTTTACGTAGTATTCTGTTTTTCTTTTAAACGATGATCAATCAAAATCGTCAATACACCAAATGAACACTTTATATTTATATATTAAAAATAAAGAAAGCATATCCTGACCAGGAGCACATGTGCTTTTCAGAAGGCAGAGTGCCATCTGGTGGAACAGAAATCAACTAAACATTGATTTAGCCAATTTCCCTGATATTTAGCCAGCCTAATTTCTTGATAAATCAAGAAATGATGAGCGCCATAAGCGCGAAGCGCGTTCGTGGATGTCTTTTCTTGATTTATCAAGAAATTGGATTGGCCAAATATCAGGGAACAGGCTAAATCAATGTTTAGTTGATTTCTGTTCCACTAGATGACGCTCTGCCTTCTGAAAAACACATGTGCTCCTGGTCAGGATAGCCTTTTTAATTTTAAATATCAACACCTGATCTTTTTATTTATTTTTTTCTATTGTTTTTTTCACATATTTATATATATATATATGAATTAAAACCACTAAGCACGAATGTGTGTTTCTTTTACCAATAAAACCAAAACCCATACTACCCTTACTGTGATGAAAAATATATGCGTTTTTATAAAATACGAGTTGTGTGGCTATTAAAAACAAGATTGGTATTTTTCTTCCCCTTTTAACTTATCAAGAGGGGCGACCCAGTGTTTGTTGTATTTTTCTTTGTCATCTCCAACTTCACCTATAAAAGTGTTCAATCTCAAGATGGCTGACAATCTGAAGACGATAGAGTTGTCAGAATATGAACATTCTCTTAGACACTGCTTCGGAATCTTACTGTTTGTTGCTAAACATGGGACAATGATTTAGGTAGAAGTGTTCTGCGTCTAGCTTGGTTAATCTGCTACGGAAACGCAGGCTAATACTATATACCTTTGAATTTGGCTGTTATTCTTTTATTTTATGTGTGTGGAAATTAAGAGAGATAATTTGTGGATGTATTTAAGAAAATCTGCATATGTACGCGATAGAAAAGGTAGAATATATAAAAATAATTAGTATGGCTCTCCGAACCAGTTGATCATTGCAGTATGGGATAGTCCCAAGTTAGTGGTCATTGTGACTGCTGTGATAGAGATGCATGGGAACATCTGAGGCTCTTCATTGGACGACAACAACAGTAGGGATAGTAGAAATGGTTTTGAATAGCAGAAAAGTAACATTCAAATAATTACTTGTAGTTGATGTGATAAAAACTTAGTATATTTGAAATTATTGAACTATATCTTCCGCACTCTGTATATTGAGAATGGAACCATTCAGGGTTTTTTTTTACTCAAATAGAAAGAATTCATGTAGTTAGTGAAGAGGTGAAGTTTCGGTATGCTTATTGCATCAGTCTTGAGCCTTCTTAGCGATTTCGCCAATTTAGATCGCTACAATTATTGTGTTTTTTTTTATTCTGCTTATATAGTCTGTGTTAGAAGGTCTATCTTTAATGTGTTAACGAAACTATGAGAAGAAAAAGAGACATACTTTTTTAATTATAGAAATTTCAGAGAAATAATCCCCAAATATTTTTCATATTTAATTCACTAATTTCAGAAATATATTTGTCCTCTATATCATAATACTAATACTAATAATAATGATAATAATACAATATACGAGCAATATAATGCGGCTTGTGATTGTAAAACGACATTTGTAAGACATAATGTCGTTTTTCAATCACAAGCCGCATTATATTGTATTATAAATTACTTTATGTATTATTTACGAACGGAAAAGATGTCCAGGGTAGCCTAGTGGACATGGCATCTGCCCGGTAAGCGGAACACTATGGGTTCAATTCCTATCCCTAGACACTTTTATTTTTCCGTTTATCATTACTCTTCACAATTCACCCTTTCATACCTCATCCCAAAGGTTAGAAATAATCGTTATTTCTCCTTGGAATAAATTTTGATTTTTCGTTGAAAAGAAACACATGCGGGATATTTTTACAAATGTCTTTTTACAATGATAATAATAAAGAAATATGGCTGAATGTCCTCAATACCTGGAATTAGTCGTTGGCATAGGTTTTTAAATGGCCATTTCCGAATAAAATGATGATTGTGTGTGTGGGCTTCACTCCCTCAATCTTAAATTAAAACAAACCAGCGAGAGAGAGAGAGAGAGAGAGAGAGGAATCTTCTGGTTCATTTTTCCAATTTCCCTAATTTTATCCTCGGATTGAAAAGAAGACTTTCAAATGGAATTAAAGGTATGAGGTTTCACCCTATGGTAATCTCTTTGAAATAATTAGCCTTTCTTTCAAATGGCCCCATTTTTTATATTTCCATTTGGAATTTTAATTTTGTAAGATTCCTCAATCGATTGCAAAAAAAAAAGAAAAAAAAAAGGAAATGGTTTGAATTCTTTTAACCGGAGAGAAAAATATACGAAAGTAAATTTTTGTAATAAATCTTTTGTTCTAAAGAATAATAGAAAAAAAATTAATATTTTTGAAAGATTATTTTTAAATAAAAAAAATATATACACACATAAATTAGAAATTTTAAAATTTATTGAATAGATTAAATTGATATTTTTCTCTCAAAATATATTAAATATAAACATATTTAGAAATTTAATCAGGCGTCTATTAAGGTAATGAATAAAAAAAGAATATTTTTAATATAAGAATTGTGTATCGATAAATTAAATTTAAAAAATCTTTTTTTTTTTTTGTTTTTGCTTGTAGAAAAAGAGGTAGGTGGGGAAGTGGGCTGAAGGTATATTTATGAAAATATGCATTTTATTGGCTTCTTAATATATATAGAATGGCGATATTAAAAGGAGCCATTAACCGTGAAATTAGATTAAATATTGATTTGGGTGTAAAAGGTAAATATTTCGTTTAAAAGATGATTCAAAGCGTCTTTTCGAAATTCTCTTTACAGAACATTACACTCATGGACGAACCTTATAGGAGATTCTGAAGAAAGAAGTGCTGATTCACCATGTGCTCTCGTTCTCTAAAATGTCAACTGGAGAGTGGGGGAAGTACAAAAACCAAAGGTAGCCAGATAAGTCCTATCAAACGTAGAATTACATTCGCATGTACTGTATTTTGTACATGTTACTACTTTATGTAGCACTCGTGGACAAAACTTAAGGAAGTGGAAAGTCTTTGGTGGTCCTCTGTCCTTTTTTTTAAGAAGACAGAGGGAATTTTGTTGACATTTGTTTATCTCGTGTCTTCAATAAAGGTCACTGTAATGACTCTCAGAGTTATTTAGCCAATTCAATATATTTTATTGACATTCTTAGTGAATTGTTACAAAAATCGAAGATAAATTAAACAAAGATAAATGTGATTATTTACAATTTGGTGATAAAAATATATAAAAAACTGTTCTCAGAAAGGGAGGCTCCTCCACTTTGAGAAAGTTATTATCTGAATCTCGATCTACATGCTAAAATGTACAACTTCCTCAAGTTTTGTCTACGAACTTTTTTTAACTTGCTAGCTATTACACCATTCTCATGAGTTTTCATTCACATAACAATTTGCTGTTTTATTTGAGACACCTTTTCTACATCTAGCTATAGATAATTCAAATAAAATTAAACTTTGTGATATTTGAATAGCTTTTATGATTTATATTACGAAAAGCACGACTTCAAAATATTTTAAGGAGGCTGCATCTAAGGGCTTAGTAAAAAAACGGAGGGAAGAATATCGTCGGGATAAAAATCAATTTTATTTAAACCTTCTACATATTCACGCTTCAATCACCTTGAGAGCCGTTTGGCGACGCGCGGATAGCGAAATAGATTTACTGAACAAAGAAAATAATGAAGCTGCTTTTACGTTAAACCAGATGATCGGTTGGAAAGATCCAGATTTAGACGCGGAAATAACCCTTGAAGAGATCTATGATGTAGTAAAAAAACTAGCGAATGGCAAAGCAGTGGGACTCGATGGTATACCAAATGAGTTGCTAAAGAATTTACCGATACCGACTTTAACTAAATTGAAAACCTATTCAACAAAATAATGTCCACAGAAAAATACCCGCAACTCTGGACGAACTCAATAGTACACCCCATATATAAAAGCGGTGATAAGAATAACCCAACAAATTATAGAGGGATTGCCCTCTGCAGTAATATATCTAAATTATTTACTACAATACTAAGAAACAGATTAAACAACTGGATAGAAAAAAGAGAGATTATTTTAGAAAATAAAGCAGGTTTCCGTAAGAATAGATCATGCACTGACCACATACTACTACTGAATTCACTCATCCAATTATCTTTGAGAAGAAAACGAGGCAAGCTATATGTCTTCTTCGTCGATTTGACTAAAGCTTTCGACACAGTACCACATGATTTACTTTGGCAAAAATTGCATAAAATGGGCATTAGCAATAAATTTGTAATGCTGATTAAAAACTTTTACCAAGAAGCTTAGATTACTATCCGATAGAAAGGGCAATATTCAAGTAATGTGAAAATTAATTCTGGAGTGTTGCAGGGAGAATCACTTTCCCCATTTTTATTTATATTATATATGGCCGATCTAATAGAACTTTATAATAACTCAGCACTTACAGGATTTCATCTCCCTGATTTTGGTGTTTTACACCTACTTCTGTATGCGGATGACATAGCCATAATTGGAGAATCGAAAATTAATCTACAAATTAAAATCAATTTACTAAAGTCTTACCTGGATAATAACAAATTAGTTTTAAATGAAAATAAGCCCAAAATAATGGTATTTAGAAATGGAGGAAGACCGGCAAGACACGAAAACTGGTACTGGGGGGACATCCCACTGACTGTTGCGTCCAATATTTTATATTTGGGATATCCATTCACTACCACTAATAATAGCAAAAAGGTAGCCCTCTTTTATAAAGCCAAAGCAAATACGGCAATAAATGCAACTATTAGACTGATAAAAAAGGAAAAAATTAATTCATTAAAAGTTGCACTGAATTTATTTGACTCAGTTATTAAATCAATACTACTCTATGCGGCCCCTGTGTGGGCTTGGGACAATACTGATATTATAGACCAAATACAGAATACGTTTATCAAAAACTTTCTGAATCTACCAAGATATATACCAGGGTATATTGTTAGGCTGGAAACAGGCAGAATATCTCTGACTTTTACAACGATCAAATTAATTATGAAATATTTCATTAGATTACAAAAAATGGAAGATAATAGACTACCTAAGCTATGCTGGAATAGATTGAAGGAAATTTTCTTAATGACAAAAAAACCTATAGGATTCTGTAAGAATATCATGGATATCATCAATCATTGTGGACTCACACGGCTAAACTATAGGTTAAATTATGATGACATACAGATCGAACTTCCGAATATACTAAAAATAAAAATTGAACAGCTATTGCAGCAAGATCTGGCAAAATTATCTCTTACGAAAACATACTCAAACTATAGGTTACTTTATGATTCATTCATTCCAGAACATTATTTTTCATGCAATCTGTCCTCAGCTTTAGTGAGTTTTATTGCACAGATCAGATTAATATCAACATTGATCAAAGAAAATCATATTTACGTAATTAAGAAAGAAGATTTGTACTGTAGGTTATGCGGAAGTCAGATAACCGATGAAATATACCATTTTACTGCTGAGTGCGGGGATCTGGAAGGAGAGAGAAAAAAGATCCTGAAAAGTCTTCCTAGACCGCATTTGAACTCAATAAAGATAATAAAAACTGTTTCAGATAAGAAAAGTTGGGCAATAGAACTGTTCAACTATCAAAAAGCGGTTGTAAATAAAATTGCACTCGTGGAAGAGAGAAGAACAGGGGCACAATAAAAAAGTCACCCTGTTTACCATACCTTAATTGTAAATACTCTATCTCTCCCTTTTCTCTTGTGTTGAATATTGTCTGTAATTCCACGGCGAATCTGTACAGGGCAAGACGCCCTAATAAAGTTGTTTTGTTGTTGTTGTTGTTGGATAGCGAAATAGATTGAATTAAGGTTTCCCGAGGATTATTTCATCACACCTCATAAATTCACTACTGGCCGTTGAAATTGATATACACTAGGAGGAAATTCAAATAACAATGGTTTTTATTGAACAAATTATTAAACTGGGACAAACAAATGAATACATTTTTCAAAAGTATTGTAGGTATGGATCCTGAGAAATCAGTATCCCCAGAGGAATCACCTCTGGTAGCACCTGAAACCCCAAAACACATTATTGACTGTATTGACCATCCATTGCTCTACTCATCCACGACAGACACCATCAAAAGTCTCAAGCTTTACAAGCTTGACATCCTAATATGATTGAGTGGAGGTAAGAAAGAATACCTCTGGTAGCAATAAGAGCACTTATATATCGGGCATTGAGTCAAACAGAATGGATAGCATGTACATGTACAGTTTCCCATTCAGCTTCAACACGATGTTTACCGACAGTAATGACTGGAGTGTGGTGATGAGCCAGTCGCTCGGCAACCATTGACCAGACGTTTTCTAATGGTGACAGATCAGGAGAACCTGCTGGCCAGGGAAGCAGCCAAACATTTTATATATGTAGGAAGGTCCATACAATACCGGCATATGCATTATCCTGCTGAAATGTAGCGCTTCTCATGCCTCAGGTACAGGGTTTTGCCACGGCCCATTACACATCAGAATTCTAACGGAAACTGTTCAAGGTGCCGGGAATACGAACAAGAGGAGACCGAGACGTGTATTCAATGGCACCCCGTACCATCACTCGAGGTGATGGGCCAGTAGAACGATGTCGAAAGCGCGCTGGTGCGTCCAGGTTTGTCGTTGATTACCATTGGAGACGCTCCTGTCTGT